GGGTAGCTCCCAAAAGATGGACTTCTGCTTCCACATGGGTGCGTGTCCCTTAGCATCTTTGGGAATAGATTCGCTGCCTTGTCCCTTTCTAAATACTACTTTCACATCCTTGACCATTGCGAGTACATCTTCCCCGGTTCGGTTATGAGGCTTCTTCTGGTGGTCTGGCTTACCTTTAAAATGTTTTCCTTTCTTTCTTACTTGGTGATTCAAAGGAAGATATGGACGATGGCCAAGGTACACGACCTTTCGACATCTTTTCAAATATATACTGTGAAGGTCATCAAAACAATGTGTGCATGCATTATATCGTTTGTTTGTCTGACCCGAAAGATTACTTAAAGCAGGCCAATCATTGATTGTTACGAACAACATTGCTCGTAGGTCAAAGTGTTCTTGTTTGTACTCATCCCAGACACGTACACCTGGTTTGTTCCATAAAACTAGAAGTTCTTCAACTAATGGCTTCAGATAGACATCAATGTCGTTGCCAGGTTGCCTCGGACCTTGGATGAGGATCGGCATCATAATGAACTTCCGCTTCATGCATAACCATGGAGGAAGGTTGTAGATACATAGAGTAACTGGCCAAGTGCTATGACTAGTGCTCTGCTTCCTAAAAGGATTCATACCATCTGTACTTAAGGCGAACCTTAAGTTTCTAGCCTCATTTGCAAACTCTAGAAATTTCCTGTCTATCGCTCTCCACTGGGACCCATTAGCTGGGTGTCTCAGCATATTGTCTACCTTACAGTCTTCTTTATGCCACCGCAACAACTTTGCATGGTCTTTATTTTTGAACAAACGTTTTAAGCGTGGTATTATAGGAGCATACCACATAACCTTGGCAGGGATTTTCTTTCTAGGACGTTGTTCACCCTCGACGTCACCAGGATCATCACGTCCGATCTTATACCGCGATGCTTTACATACCGGGCATTCATCCAAATTCTCGTATTCATTGCCATGGTAGAGGATGCAGTCATTAGGACATGCATGTATCTTCTGGATTTTTAATCCCAAAGGGCAGACAACCTTTTTTACTTCATACGTAGTGGTGGGCAATTCATTTGGCTTCGGAAGCATCTTCTTTATGAGGTTCAATAAATTCCCAAATACCTTGTCGGATACACCATTCTTTGCCTTCTACTGTAGCAATTCTAGTGTTGTACCTAGCTTTTTTTGCCCCTCTTCGACCGTCGGGTATAGCAACTTCCTATGATCCTCAAGCATGCGCTCGAACTTAACTTTCTCTTTTTCACTTTCGCATTCTTGTTGTGCATCACGAATGGCATCGCCAAGAGCATCACCGAGATCATCTTCTGCCGCTACTTCTTCTTCATCTCCCTCTATTGTAGTATCATCAAAGGCACCATACTGAGCAATAATGTCATCAATGTCTAAATCTTCTCCTTCACCTTCTTCCATCATGACCCCGCTTTCTCTATGCTTAGTCCAACATATATGGTTTGACATGAAACCTGACTTAAGCAAATGTGAATGAAGACTCATTGAGCTTGAATATTCCTTTAAATTCTTACATAGGGCACATGGACAGCACATGAAACCATCCCGCTTATTTGCCTCGGCCACACCTAAGAAATAGTGCACGCCCTCAATAAAGTCTTGGGAGCGGCGATCGGCATTGTACATCCAATGGCGTGACATAATCTGCATTACACAACAAATTATGAAAACCTTGAACATAATTAAGTATTTTATTACACAACATAGATGACACACACACGGTTGATTAATTAACTAAGCCTGGCTACAATGTAAGCAATCCCAGCTATCACTAAACAAACTAAAACAACAATGCACTTCAGTAACATAATTATTTCGTGACCGTACGCAACTAAAACAGACAAATCATTCGTCTGTTGAATATCAATAAGCTTCTCCTGCTGGCTCACTGCCTCATCATCAGCAGCCGCAACCTCAAGCGCACCCGAATTCTGCACGTATGTAGCATAATCTTCCTCCCAGTACCAACCATCGCATCCATTGCCCTTCCACTGAAATTAAAGCCAAAAAATATTTAGTCAAAAATATTCAAGAAAAGCAGGTCAATTAGCCATAATAATCAAATGCGTAAGAAACTCACATCGCGATCCGGGCACTTATAGAAAACACGACCCTTGTTGAGTCCCTGTCTCTTGACTTGGTACTCCATCACAATCTTCTGCTTACACTTGCCGCAAATAATGAGAGGGAGTTCTGGCCTCAGTTGTTTCGCAACCGAACGAGAGGCCGAGGATCCGGTACCAGTTATCATCTACTTTCTATACTTATTTTTGCAAACTAGTGTAAATTTCACATTTTCTAAAATAATATATTTAAACAAAACTAAAATTATTTATTTATCTAACTAAACCATGAAATATGTACTATGTATAATAGTAAAATACCAAACTATCAAGTGATTTTACTATTGTAAATCATCACGTGATTTTGAGCTAAAAATGACATAGAAATCATAATCAAATCCACCATATCAAGTTACTTTCTATACTTATTTTTGCAAACTATTGTAAATTTCTCATTTCTAAAGTAATATATTAAAACAAATAAAAATATTTATTTATCTAACTAAATCATGAAATGTACTACATATACTAGCAATACTAAACTATCAAGTGATTTTGATGAACTAATTTAACTTTTGTTTATCCAAACATATATGCAAATCATCATGTGATTTTGAGCTAAAAATGACATAAAATCATAATAAAGTCCAACATATAAAGTTACACATACATCTACATCGTAAAATAAGATAAGCTACTGATAAAACATAAGAGGATTAAGTTTGTTACCTCCAAAATCGAAGAGCAACACCAATAGAGGGGGAGAGAGCAAGAACAACAGTAAGCTGAAGAACAGAGCCAGTGAGTTTGAATGGAATAGCTCGGGCTCGGGGAGGAAGAAATGAGCTGGTCTATAGGCCGGGATAATTAGTCCCGATTAGGAGGCCAAACCAGGACTAAAGATTAATCTTTATTTCCAGGGAATCACCCAAACTGGAACTAAAAGTTTTAGTCCCGGTTGGTAATACCAGCCAGGACTAAAGATCCCTGCCCCGTGGACGACCATTGGGCAGGAACCTTTCGTGTAAACTAAGTGATATATAGCTACAAACTAGCAGTGCTATATCCTTGTTAGTTAGTGACAATAACAGACAATAAAAACCTACCTATCCCTGCTAGTTGTAGCCATGAACCGGCACTAACAATGCTGACACTAACTGCACAACTGGCGGTCTGACCGCCCCTCTGCCCGATCGGAATGGCCACTCTCCAATGGCTAGTCAACCGAAGTAAACTGCTAAGGAACTGTCCTGGAGGTCTAACCGCGCCTCGGCCAATCTAACTGCCGGTAAAAATTGTCCGGGCACAAACATTTTGCACCCTCCTTTGGTGACTCGAATATAGAGATCGGCGGACTGACTGGCAGCATGCGTGCTCAGAGACCAGCCACCCAATGGAGCGACTGCAAGCCACAAACTCAACATGGCCTTCTGGTGCACCTGCGCCCCCTAATCGGAGAGCTCCACTGGCTTGGCGATCTAGCCACCTTGATGGCTGGTTAGACTGGCCGACCCATCTGGCTCAGCTTGAGGCAGGACAATATTGGACTGAGACGACCAGAGCCCTCGGTCAACAACAATCGAATCAACCCACCGGTCAGATTGCCCTTGCTGAAAAAACAGCACACTGAAAGCCTTTCTCAAACCTTTTAAATTGCTAACTCCAGTTGTTTCCCCACAAGGCAACCGTCACCTTTAGGATTTAGTTAACACTTTAAAACTATTTTCAAAAGTTTTTCACCCACGTTCAAACCGCCACTCATTTTTAATGGCAACACAATGTTAGACCTCTCAAATGGCAACAGACAATAGAAATGCAAAACACTGCCTCTTTTAATAGTATGGCTATCTACCCTAAACTCAGCCATCTTAATCTTCTCTAATCACCACATGTCTAGTAAAATAAAATGACATACACTTCATACCTTTGCCTTGCACAAATCCACTTTAACTTCAAGCTGAGACCCACAAGCATACATTACCCATATACTGTCCATTTCTCAAGCCACTTGATATCCATCCATGACATCAACTCTTTTAGTTTCTTCTCTTAAATGATACAAATCACTCATAGCTTCACATGGTCTTCGTTGACCTAAGCCTTACTCGCTCTTCACTACCTTGGTCCTTTAGCACCAAGCTCTCTCTATTCGCACTTCACTGCTGCATAGTCTATCATGCCCAAGTCTCTAGCTTGCCCTTCACCCTTCCATAGTCCATCGCAACCTACCCTTGCTTGATCATCACCATTTTTCCATACGTAATTCGTATTCTCAATGATGTTCACTTCATCAGTCAAATCATCTTTACCTTGAGCCTTCCAACATTCTTTCCATCGTATTCATATGGATGCGCGCAGGAGCTTTTGCATTAATAATGCATGCAAACAATTTAAAAATTTAAAAACAAATAATACATATAGGACGCTACACGCGCTCAGCCGCGCAGATGGAAAAGCGCCTGAACAATAAGCACAATAGGGAACAGCAAGGAACAGCAACCGAAGAGTGGATTGAACAGTGGCAGCACAACGATTCAAACAATATATGAACAGTGTTCGCCGCATGGATGCTGTGGCCGTGTAGGGATTCATTCTGCATTGAAGATTAGACTATGGCGTTGTGTCACTGCCATGTGATGGCCCCATATCGACCCGCATTGCAGTGGCGCAACTGTCCGGGCAGTAACTACACCTAATTTGTGTGCAAGGCATGTCTTTTTCTGATTGTGTATACAATATTCTCCTTGGATCCAAACTAATAAACATTGCTAGGTACATGGGCCAAATACACGGTTTTAAGGCCAAATATAACATTTTATCATCGTAACATATGGCAAGTAGGCGTAGTTCAAAACCACAAAATCAGGGCAAATATATGTGGTGGGAGGCAAGTGGTGGTGCATCTTCGATTCATCTCGCAGATGGACCACCTGCGGAGAGCAAAGCTGAGATATCACCCCCTAGAGTTGCCCTGACGCTACTATCCGACTCACGAGCTTCCTCCAATGCCAAGCTCTCCTTCAGCTGCGCCACCACGGTAGCCATCGTTGGCCTTTGAGCAGCAGCATCTGAAGTGCACTGGTTCGCAGTGTCCACCACCTTCCACATGGAATTCACATCGTAGGCACCTTCCAGGCGCGCATCGGCGATACGACTGATGTTTTCACCTGCAGTTATCATCTGGTTGACTCGCTGAACGATGTGGCCATGGCCTGGCAGTATCGGAGCCTTGCCGGTGGCTGCCTCCAGCAGAACAACTCCGAAGCTATAGACATCACTGCTCTCGGTGAGCCTACCAGTGTGGTAGTACCTGAAGAAACAGCAGGCAAGAGCGTGCGTTCAACAAGAAGTGATGCTGTTACCAATAAGATTGTTTCATTACTTTCATCATAAACACTTGTACGAGCAGGGGCATGCATACTCACTCTGGATCGATGTAACCCGATGTGCCAGCTGCAGTGACTGATATAGTGATATGTGAGTCTGACTGTCGCTTAGATAGGTTTTCGAAAGTCCAAAATCTGCTAGTTTGGCCTCCAGATTTCGACCCAGGAGAATGTTGCTGGTCTTCACATCACGGTGGATTATTGGAGGGTTGCATCCTTTGTGCAGATAATCCAGGCCTATGTATGGCACAGCAAGTTCCACAAAATCAAATTATATACAAAGAAGAGTGTATGTAGGATTTGCTTAAGGACCATGTTTTTCTTCCTCAAATTTAAAATATACCTTGTGCAGCTTCAAGCACTACTCGTACACGTGTTCCCCAATTCAAGGTTTCAGCAACACCATTTTTACCTGCATTGTATCAGCAGAAAAGAACATTGTTGATGGAAATATTTTTCTGTTTCTAGTTTTTTTTTTCCATAAGTAAATTGGACAACTTACACACAATAGGACCAACAGTTTGATAAATTGAATACACACGTCATACATTAAATAAAGGAAATAAAGCGTTATCCATTTCTACTCATCTCTCATCCTACTATTTAGATGTTCAGATAGAACAAAATAAAAGGGTATCGGGCTCCTATAAGAACAGAACGTGATTTAATAACATCAACTACTTAAGATGATAGAGGTCTACTTCCTTCGTCCTAAAATAACTGCACAGATCATTTTTTGAGGAGTCAAACTTTTTATATTTGACTAAATAAAACATACTAATATCTATGATGAGTAATAAGAATCGTTTTATTAATAGTGAAATATATTTTCATAATAAAGATATTAGCAATAGCAAATACAAATTTTGATATTGGTTTCTATAAATCTAGTCATACTTAAAAGAATTTGACTCCTCAAAAAACGAGATGCGTAATTATTTTGAGACGGGAGAATATATAAAAAGGACAGACCCAGTGCTGGAGGCTCCCACATGAGTGGGGTCTGGGAAGGAAAAAACTGAGGCAAGCCTTTCCCCCGCAAAATCTGCGGAGACGCTGCTTCGAACCCACGACCTGGTGACTCAGTGAGACATCTCTCACCACTGCACCAGACTTGCCCTTCAGACGGGAGAATAGATAACCCAAAAAAAATGGACATTAAAATATCTAGCAGTTAATCTCAAGCGCAAATTAAATGCATTCAGATGATTATTACTTAGTAGTCAATTATGAGTGACTGCAAGTACAAACCTCTCAGATGATAAAAAAGACTGCCTTGAGACAGGTACTCATAAACCAGTTCCAAGTGATCTCCTTCCCAGCAGTAACCAACCAAAGAAACTAGATTCCTGTGATGCACCTTTGTCAAGCTCTGAACCTAATTAACAAGGTACAAAAACGAAGGAAATTATAATGATTATAAAAAATGGACTTCTAAATTTTCTGTGCACTTTTTTTTATGACTGAATACAACACCTCAGCCAGAAACTCATCCAGCCCATGTAGTGATGACTCAGAACGCCTCTTGACAGCAACCTCAGTACCGTTTTCTAATCGGCCGCAGTACACATGGCCAAAATCTCCATGTCCTATGAACCCTTCGAAATTATTAGTTATCTTCTCCAGCTCTTTGTACATGAACTGGCGACTCTCGCTATTTTGCAGGTTGCCCCCATGGCCTTTTGCACTTCTAGGAACATTATTCTCAAGTTCTGGATCTCTCGCAAGATCGTCATATGTAGATTCTTGTCGCACTAGTCTCAGACATATATAACAGATATACCAGATTTAGAAAACTTCGAATATCTGTATACTTAATGCAGGTGACAAAATGAATAAGTACACACCGTTGGGATGTATTTTCTTTCTCCAGATGAAATATCCAAGAAAAAGTATAGCCACTACCAGCACAGATACCCCTATTGAGACAGCTTTGACAATTGTCCCTTTTCTTGATGGATTTGTTCTTTGAGCGCACAGAGGCCCAACAACAAGCTGGTCATAGCTAAAATTGAAAAAGACAATCAGATCAGTTTTTTTAAAAAAAAAGAAAAATCGTCTCTTTGAGAATCACATAAAACAGCTACAACAAATTTTGAAGCATCAAGAAGGAAGCCAAAACCTGAGAACAAGTTGTCGTGTGAGATTTTTACAAAAGGATTCTGGAAGCGGGCCACTCAGATGATTGCCAGACAAATTTCTGTAGAAAGTGACAGTCAAATGGTACTGTCCCCAGCCTAGATTAAATTTGCAGCCAAATACATTTACTTACAGAACTTGAAGTGATGACAAACTTGTTATGAAATCAGGTATGAGCCCATTTAAGTTGTTATAAGACAAATCCCTGAAATGTATCATGTGTGCACAACTTATTAGGAATGTCAAAAATCGAATAACCTTGTTCTTCAAATAAAATAGAGGTATACCTGCGCGTATCCCAAACTATAACTGAATAACAAAATATGGTAATTAGGTACATCAAGATGTAGAGCATGATTTGTGACATATCACCCAATATTGTGTCAAGTCTTGTGGGGTATAAAACGAATCCATATAGATTACTCAATTAGAGCAAAGTCATGGCAAAATGGCGAGTATGCCGTGGTCCTTCATCAATGAATTTCAAATATTCCAATATGCCATTCAATTTATATCAGAGAATATGATTAACATCAAAGAGGAATATATTTCAAAGACTGAGTACTAATTAAGTTGAATAAATTAAACATGTAGGCATACGGAAATAAGGATGTCAGAAAAAGGCTCTCCTATAATGGTCTCATCAATTCAATTGATAAGAAAGATTACAAGCCTAATTCTTGTTCCTAAAGGAAGCATGATGCTTGTTGTTACTCTTCTTCATTCTTTTTGTTTGATGCTTTAGAATTAATGTGTGCGTGGTCAAATAACATTCTAAGCTTTGCATATAAATCTGTCTAAATTTGAAATTAAACCACTGGATATGTCAATACTTTCATAGTATTGTCAATATTAATTTTAGTGAAACAAAGAAGGTATTGTGAATAATAACATGTTATAGAAATTCAAACAAAAAAGAATGAGAAACATGCCAACAATTTGTTTTGGCGTTTTGCCCTAACTTAAACTTGGTGCATTATTTTTGCTTACTTGGTAGAGGCCATAGAGCCTCTATTTGAGAGGCTACCCATTCAGGCTTCCAACATAAAGGCTCACAGATCGTCTTAGTACCATTCTAAAAGGTTGGGTACACCCCTCTAGATGAAGTTTTTTTAGGAATCAGGAGGGGCAAAGCGCCCCTACTGGTTAATTTCTTTTGTAAAACCTTTACCTTTTACCTTCTGTTTTTGTGACTTCTCTAGGCAAAGTTAGGAGGACTTCTCTCTCTAGTGATCCATAGTGGAGTTTTTTTTTTGTGCTAGCATGAACATCTGGAAGCTTAAGCTTAGAGAGTGACTTAGGTAGAATTAAGGATTAAAACTTGCAAAAGTAGATACAGTGGTTTCAGTGGAACAAAACCTTAAGACCAGTACAATATATTGGCAAAAGGTGTAGGCTGAAGAAACCAACTTATACACACAATAAGCGTCTAGCTAGGTGCAATCCCTAATGTACTGTTTGGTTCTCTATCATTGAGTGACTTTAATCACAAGTGTTGTTAAAGTTTCTAAAATTACTCTAAGCCAACAAAAACCGTATCAATTGAAACAATATAGTGTAGTAACCAGTGAAGCACTGTTTCTAGCACTCACAAAGTTTCGAGTGCCGTGAGCGATGTAAAATTTAGAGATATTTCACCGCTCAAGTCGCTGTTGGAGAGATTCGTGGAGCAGAATATTGTTTTCAAGTCAATCAACACAAGTAAAAATCATAAACATAAGAATCACAGAAGAATCACGATGCAATATATTCGAAATGATGTTTACAAATACTCACAGTGATATTATCCTAGCAAGGTCAGCACTTGGATTGTTGCACATCACGCCGTTCCATAATGTATCTGGGAAACATGGATCCCCCGTCCAGTTTCTCTTGACTAAATACTTGAGTTTAATACCCATAATAGCATCAACTAGCATGGCACAAATAATGAATGTGATGATCAGGTCATGACATGCATCATTATAAGTAAGCGAGGGGGCGCTAATTTTTTGACACAACCAGTAGTGGTTGAAGAATATTTCATGGTGCAAAAAAGGACTTGTATTGTTGCATATCTAGATGGGTAGCAAAGCTACGTAACTAGAAAATTGAAATGACTAATTCGCAAAAAAAAAAAATTGAAATGACTTATAATTTAGAACGAATCGGAGGAAGTACTGTATATACATCAGGAGGAGAGGGTACCGAGAATTCACAATCATTAGGCATTGTTGATGGAGCCAGAGCATCATCCAAGTCGATCGAAGTGTATATCTCAAGCGCATTGAGCATTGGTGGAAGCACGGAGGCTGCAGTGCCGACAAGGGTTATGTTGTGCTTGCCGTCGGGGGCAGTATACCACTCAGGGCTGCGCACACAGGAATCTGCAAGATATTGTGGGCTATACGGCTTCGAGATCAAATGTTTGTCGTTCACGTATATATCGAATTCCCGGACTTGGGTGTTGTTAAAATCGGCGAAGTGCAGAAAGGCCATGAACCGGTACGTATTTTCTGTAATCTCTCCCTCCGATGACGGTAAGCGACGTGCTGTTGTTGCCGGCCGGTTCTATGGCCCTCTGGAGAATGGGCGAGGGCACATCGAAGCTGGGGTCTGGCTGGATGTCAAGCTGCGTCGACATGTTTCTCCACTGTGGGCCGTTCTTCCCATACCCGAGTCGGTCGTGCGTATCTGTCGGATGCCTTATAAAAGAACAATAGGAAAGAGAGTAATGTGAGTTAATTAAAAACTGACCAGATTTGGGTAAGGTTTACGTACATGTATTTATAGGGGTGAGTATGCGTGCTAGACAATGATCGTATCAATGACGTACACTCTCCGACTCAAAATTTGGAATGGAGGGAATATAAAATATTTTTGCTTTTCTAGATTTGTAGTTTTTGCTATACACTATATCTAGATACATAATAAAAACAACGTATTTAAAAAAGCCAAAAATATCTTATAATTTAAAATAAGCAGAGTAGTTTAATTAAAGCAAATTTTACTGCAGGACATCCAACTTCAATGGACCAGTTCACACCACCAACGACGAAATATGTTGAGTGCTATTATGAAATTGCGGTTATTTGTCATAAAACAGCACACCGATTATTTTATTCATTTTTGTGTTTTGCAGAGAGAGAAAGTGGGGAAAATGTCTTTTTTTCTTATCTTCAACCTCTGGCGGACACCTGTTCTCGTGCTCTCACCTCTCCGGCAAACGCTGCCAGTGCCTAGGGAGGAGGCGTCCAGCATCATGTCGTCGGACTTGATGTTGGTGAAGAGTGCATGGGAGATGGCGATATGGAGGAGGAAGAGCGCGGAGAGCACAGGGGGGGGGGGGCAAAGCGGCCGTGATGCGTGTGAAGAACGGGAGGTGTGAGCCATGGAGTACCTTTGTGGAGAAGCGGGAGATCCCTAGGACACCGACGGCTGCAGCTCCTCCGGCTCGCACGCCATGGCTGGCTACGGCTAGGATCTTCTGGGTGGATCCTCCCAACAGGTGGGTGGGATTTGGTGCTTGGAGATGATTGGATTAGAGGAAATGGGGAGAGGAGGTGGTGGCGTGGGGATGGGGGAATTTCTCGCCTTGTGTCGCCTCTAGCTGGGTCGTGATTGGGATTGGAATGTGGTGGGGGGAGAACCCAAGAAGGCTCGAGGAGGGAGCGAGACAGAGGAAGACCTGCTTGCCCCCATTAGCAGCACCGCCAGCAGGTCCAGCGCCAAGGGTTTCATCGCCACCGCCATCACTGAGTCCATTGGGGCTTGGGCAGCCTGCGCTCATGAACGCGAGGGGGGTTGAGGCACTGGTGACGGCGAGGCACGTGGATGCGAACAGCGCGGGATGACTAGGTCTGGCGGTGGCTGCCAAAGAGGTGAGAGCATGAGAACAGACGTCGGCAAGAGGTTGAAGATAAGGGCAAAAAGGACATTTCCCCAATCTTCTCTCTGGAAAACTGAGAAATGAATAAAAATTATCGATGCAATGTCTTACAATAAATAACCACAATTTCATAATGGTACTCAGCATATTTCGACGTTGACCGTGTGGACTGACCAATTCCATTGAAGTTGGATATTCAGCAACAAAAATTGCCTTCATTTAAATATCAAAAAGAGAAAATGACACTGATCACATACAACAACTGAACAACTTGTTAGAGTTAGGGTGTGCAATCAAACGGCAATGCTTGGTCACACATATAGCAAGTTGTATACTTACCATGACGCCGACTCCCAAAAAAAAATGCCGCATGCTATAATGGTTTAGTGGGTGCACATCTAACCACATCTGTATAGAAACTATATCTTTTGTATTCATCTTTTCTATAAGCTTAAACTTTTAAGTCGAAAATTAGTTCATACGGCCAAGAGGTCTTCAGTTCTAATAGTTGTAGATGGCATAATTTAATAAAAATAATTGTTGCCCGCTTCTAATTTACACGAGGACCATGTTGATGTGGCGTTGAGGTATGACCGTATAAGGGCAGCTCCAACAAAGTTAAAACAGCTAATTTATAGAATATTTTATTCACTAAGAAGAGAAAGTGGTAGGCTAACTCTTCATGAAGAGCTAAGTTCATACACTTTTTTATGATTCGTGTGTTTATGGCCACATATTTTTCTATAGTACTCCCTCCATCCCAAATTATAAGACTTCTTGACCATTTTTAATTCATTGTTTTTACTATGCATCAAGACATAGTGTATATCTAAATTTATAGTTAAAACTATGTATTAAAAAAATCAAAACGTCTTATAATTTCAAACGGAGGGAGTAGCATGTTAGGTTACTTCATTTTTATCCTTTTTAAGTTCATATGAGCTAGAAGGCCGACTCTATTGTTGAGAGTGCCCTAAGCAAATTGCATGCCATTTTCAATCACCTTAAGCTTTTTAAGTTATTTTTTTGGTGCATGGAGCTCAGCACTTTGCTAACCTTGATTTTAAAAATAGCAAGTTGGATTTAAAAGTACTGATCAGCCAAAATTGCTTAACCATCATCAATATAATTGACCAAATTTTGCTGGAAAATATGCCCAAATTTTCTAATCAAATAAAATTTTCAGCAATTTGGCACTCAGATGAGTTAAGATCTCATCTGGTGCAACTACTTTTAGGTATTTTATTAGTTTTTTTTTCTCTACCATATTTCCCTTTAATTTCCATTGACAATGGAGTTGTACTCTAATGTGTGTCAAATTAGACAAAAGCATGTGATTACAAACTATTGCATTATATGTAATTTGTCTTAACTAATTTCATAAGATTTTGCTGAATTTTAGGCTGATATACAAAACTACTATAGAGAATAATCTTGTGAAACAAACTATTGTACTAGTTCACGAACTAGGGTCAGTTAATTACAGTTAGGTTTCTTGTGTTGGAACATGCCTACTGGGATTTAAATCCTTGACTTGGCATGGATCGAAGCTAATTACTAATTTTTTTCTGGGTCGGATTTATTCTTAAGTTTAGTGGAACGTTGTAGTATGTTTTTGTATCAGCAATGAGGTGATTTCGCCCATTTCAAAATCTGTCGACTCGATCTCTCAGTGCTCGTATGGGTAACGTGCTTTGCGCGTATGCGTTAATAGGAGTGCCTGTGCGTGCATACAAGGGTACGCGGGAAAAAAAAGTATATGGTACTAGTCCAAACAAACCTACTCTCAGCCAATTTGCACCCATATGGACCGGAAGAACGATTTCCATACCTGGTCACTGGAGCGTCTGTCCCCATCATTCGGCGGTCGTACATTGACATGGACTGGTTACCGGAGACGGGCAGGTAGAGCCCGTCCCCGAGCTTCCTCAGCTCCACCACGGACACGAACGGCGTGCCACGGCCGGTGTTGACCAGGCACACCGGCGCCCACCCCGCCTGCGCCACGAACACCGCCTCCTTGGTGGTGGCGTTGGTGTCGGCAAGCCCCACGGTGACGGTGTCCCACTGTACGGAGCCCAGGTGGATCTCGAACTGCACCGACGAGCTGCTCAGGTTGTCGTAGTTGCCGTACAAGAACTGCATCCGCACCAGGTACGTGGCCGCGGTGGCGGTGGGGAGCGCGTAGTAGTTCCACTTGCCGGAGGGAAAGCTCCTGAGCGAGTAGATGGCGTCCACCCGCCCGTTCTTCGCCAGGTCGGCTTGCCGCAGCCGCCCTCCTCTTCCTCCACTCCTCTCCCCCCTTGCGCCCCCTCCCCCCTTGCGCCGCAGGGGCGCGGCGATGGCGGCCCCGGCCAAGTCGCCGGTGCAGCGGGTGGTGGGTGGCCGCCCTTGGCTGCAGGGGCCCCAACGGCTGCCGTCCCCGGGCACGGCGCCTACCGGTGGTCGCCGGCTCGGTTGCCCCCGATGCGACATCTCGTCTGCTCCATGAAACCCTAGGTGCCTGTCTCTTCCTCTGCCTCTCCCTCTGTCTCGATCTCTCTCTCCGGATGTGCCTGTCTCTCCGTCTGCTCCATGAAGCTCCTCAAGGAGGCGAAGAAGTTGCGGTTGGCCTCCTCTTCTCCGTCGGCTCAGACTCAGATATCTGCTTGCGGCGATGGCGTCGTTCTCGGAGGCTCCCCACGGGAACCCCAAGGCGGGCGAGAAGATCTTCAAGACCAAGTGCGCGCAGTGCCACACGGTCGAGAAGGGCGCCGGCCACAAGCAAGGTGAGCGACCCCCCCCCCCCCCCGCGGCCTTAGCGGATCAGATCTGAGCTCAGATAGCCGTAGATGCAGATTTCTTTTGTGTGGGAATGGTGCGCGTGGCGCTTAGATCTGTTCGATTGCTATGGGATTCGTGATAGGCCTTAGTGGATCAGATCTGAGCTCAGGCTAGTTCGTTTGCTTGTCTTGTTTTAGCATCAAAACGGCTGCGGTGTGGGTGGGTTGCTATGGCATCTCTTGTCTTGTTGTTTCACAGGAGCGCGCAGATTATGATAGAATTGATCAGGAAGCTGATGAATGGAGGGCTAAGCAAATAGCCAAGGATATTGCAAAGCGGAAGGTGCTTTCTCGTATTTGTGAAATTTGTTTCACAATTAAAGATATATTGCAGTAGGGCATCATTGTTGCTTCACAGCTAATGTATTCACTTTTGTACCTGTAAACCAGGTGGAAAGCATGCAGCAGATTGCTAGAAAGAAAGCAAATGAGGAAAGAAAGCGTCTAGAATCTGAGGTACCATGGAATAAAATTCCATGCCTAGGCTGTCCTGTGAAAGTTCTCTTCTCTAGGGTGTTTCAGAACTGTCTTTTACTAGTTGTGTGCAAGCGCATACCGCATACTACTGAACATTGATACAAACCAATGATTTTTTGTTTGTATAAGTTTAGTTGCAACATTTTAAGTCGTGCCTTTTTTATTCTTGTGACCTTTATCTAGTTTTCTTATTACTCTAGAAACCCTCTGATCTCTATACTTGTCTTAGTGCAAGCAATCTTCAGGGATATCATTCACCTATTTTCTTGTTTTTTTAGAGAGAGCTATCTTGCAATCAGTTCATGAAGAATTGAGTAGTCATTCGAATTTCTTTATACTTTAATCTAATGATTCTGTGGACGTTTTTGAGTTAATAGTATCATCATAATATTCTTCATCCTGAATAAGATAATTTTCCCAATTGGCAATTTGAAATCTGGTACTTCCAGCTGGAGCTTGCCCTAATGGTCGAGAAACTCCAGGAGCTTCGGTCTATAAGAGTTCAAAAAATGAAGAAACAAGGTAAGATATTCTTATTTTCCTATTTATTTATTTACATTCTCTGTTTTACAAAATATGTTCTGTACATGAATGAGTTGTATTATCTAGAAAATAATTAATAATTGGATTATTTTGTATTTAGTTAATAAATATATTAGTACTTAATCATTCATGTTATTATTGTGCCTTGAAAGCATGGGCAGTGGCCGGAAAAATTATGGTGCCTACTGACTAGACTTTATTTTCCTAGTTGACTTACACAGTGAAACAACAACTCCCATGATGGACTTTTACTAAAGTGAAGAGATGGGTTATCATTGTGTTTTTCTGACCTTAAATACTATGTTATTCATATTCTGGCATTTTGCATGCTGAAGGCTGAACCGCTGAAGCACATATGCCTGTAATGATCCTTTTCTCTTTTTAAGAGAAGAGGATGTCATATCCATTTGGCAATACAAATCTGCTCCTACCTGTGTATGATCCCACTAGCACAAACTTTTTGGAATCACAGAGGGCTCCTGTCTCTGCAAGACTACAAACTTTTCTTTTTCTGTTGGTGGTGTTGATTTTCCCTTTTTTATTTTGTTCAGTGTAAATACAAGAGATGGATATATGAGTTTCTTTTTTATGTTAAATGTTTTAGGTCATTTTCTTCCTGAAGAGGATGATAAATACCTCGAGCGTGTTAAGGCTGCAGTCGAGGAAGAGGAGCGCCAAGCTGCATCTGCTGCTCGAACTGATGCTGTTAAGGATGCTATTCTGACTGCTGAGGAATCAAGGAAGCCTCCACAGAATGCCAATTCTCAAGAAGGTGGTTCTGAACAACCTAGTGGACCATCTGAAGACAGGGACCTGGGAGATGGCGGGATAAATGAGAGAAATGACCAGGCAAAGCCAGAAAACTGAACATGAAGATGAAGGCCATAGATTTGAGGGAAAAGGGCATGAACATCATGACCCTGTAAGCAGTCTGCCTTTTGAGTTCTACCATTATTATCATGGAAGTAGCTATGACATGGGGACACTCATTGAGGTAATTATGCTAACTTCAGAACTTTGGGCAAGCCTTTTCTTATTTATTATGAATCGTATATAAGGCAGAGTAAATCAGAGAAATACAAACTAGGCTTCGTAACCTAACAAATAACCTGATAATTTTCACTTCATGGCATGGGCAATTACTCAATATACCTACTCAATCAACTTGTCTTTATATTGTCTCTGTTGTAGGTCCGTAGAATGTGGGATTCGTTCATCAGACCTGGAGGAAGGTAAGACTTCTACTTGTTCGTACAATTTCTTCCAAGTTAGCTTAGATGCATTAAGCAAGCATTTCTGTAAGTATTTTCAAGTTTCTGTGCAATTATGGTTTGTGAGCTTGTTTAGTTAACCGTAACAAGATGAAAGGAAGGTTAACCTCGTGAGGAGTTTATTGTGAAATAGCATCTATTGACCATTATTATGGTCTAGACTCTAGGTTAGAATCGCACTTGAAAAAGGTGCATCTTTGTTGGTCAATGCATGCTGTTTGGAATGGAGTTATTCCAATTTGGAGGAAACAGAATGGACTCCAAAGGAGTTTTGCCTATTCCTGTGAAAGAACTATGTTTTGCTCCAAACAGGCATAATATATTATTCTTCATCTTGAAGTAAAAACACAGGTCTAACCCGTCTTCTAGGTGTTCAATTGCATCGATGTTGATGCATTGTTGTGTTTTCAACTTTCAAGTCGGATACACTTATGATAGCTTTTATCTTATTGCTGCTGGAAAAAATATAATTTAGCATGACCATTCATTGTTTTTGCTCGAATATATTCTATTCCTATATAATAGCATATACTAATGTACTAGGGTGACAAAATGGATCAGTGCTGTGGTGTGTTAAGCGAATCTCATATAATAGTTTCCCTGATAGTAAATGTTCCACCTGCCTGCAGCCGTATACCTGGGCACTTGGTTCATACTCTTTCATACTCTTTCTTCCATATATATAAGATTTTACTATTTTGTGGGATCATGTTATATGTGACATGATCAGTTTCATGGCAGCTTACATCTTCTTTAGCGGAAAACATAGCAATAAACCATTGCGTGGCTTTGCTACTGAGTAGACTACATATTGTGTTCTTGGCACGTCATAGATAGATTCTTGGCACGTGAAACTGTGGTGTGGAAGAAGCTTCAGTTAGTTGGTGTAACTGCTATGTTGCTCGCGTGCAAGTATGAAGAAGTGAGCGTACCGGTGGTCGAGGATCTGGTCTTAATATGTGATCGCGCCTACACAAGGGCTGATATTCTTGAAATGGTAAAAAATGTGCTGCATGTTGATTTTTAGTGCAAAAAAAAACAGATAACTGACATTGAAATCTCTGCAGGAGAGGAGGATAGTGAACACACTTAATTTCAATATGTCGGTGCCGACTCCATACTGTTTCATGAGAAGGTTTCTAAAGGCAGCATAATCTGAGAAGAAGGTATGATACTAATACATACTCCTGTTTTTGTGATCAATAAATCATGTAAGCTATAGGTTTGCTGTACATGTACATAAACCGTGACAAAATCTTTATACTACTGGACAGCTCGAGCTCCTGTCTTTCTTCATGATCGAGCTGAGTCTTTGTCGAATACGAGATGCGCTCCAGTTCTGCCCGTCTATGCTAGCAGCTGCTACCATCTACACAGCTCAATGCACCATGCTTGCTTGGTTTTTTTTGTGATATAGATATATGTTTTGTTGTCATAATATCTGTCTGTTTGTTATTATTGTGATTCTTGTACTATAGAAGATGTTTAGAAACATTTGGCTAAATAATCTTGTTTGGGCCACAATATTACAGTCAAGTTTGCCAGGATATTTGATCATATATTTTACTCGTCACAGGATGATTTGGGGGAGCATGTGTTGGTAATTTAAATTTTTTTTGGCGGAAAAATATACTGTAGGGACGGTTGGTACTGTAGCCGCCCCTACAAATAAATTTGTAGAGGCGGCTGGTATTATCAGCCACCCCTATAAATCAAGGCAGCTGATAACACCAGCCGCCTCTACAAATCGATTTGTAGGGGCGGTCTGGAAACTGCCCCTACAAATGCATGATTTGTAGAGACGGTATGGTTGGGACGGCTGGCCGAACTGCCCCTACAAATGTCCATTAGCCGCCCCTGAAAATTATATCTGACGTAGTGTGATTCTCTCGACTCTCGAGGGTAACAAGTAGGATCTGACTCGTATATATATAGATCGAACCTATCTCATCGCCGACGACATGAAGAGCAAACACGAGCACCAACGCAACCAATAGAACAAAGAACACCGCCATGGATCCGACGTGAAACAGGAGCGAGCACCACAACAAGCTAGCTGCTAGTAGCTAGTACTGTGCAGTATAGACGGATTCACATAGTCCTATATATATAGAAGGCATGACCAGCCACACGAGAACTTTTCACAATGCAAGCAAGGGCGTTCAATGGAGAGGAAAGCTTCTTATGACCCCTCAATGTGCTACAAAATATGCTATTTTTTCCCTCGTGGTTGTTAGTTACTTATTATTTCACCTATCTTGTCCTTGCGTCTGCTGCCATATGTATGGGTTTGGTTAGTTTCAAGTTTTACTCTTTCGTAGTAGTTGCCATGTAGTGTGCAGTGTGGACTTGCCGTGAAATGCTTAATTAATTTGGTTGTTTGTTCCTTCTTCTCATGATGCCTAATAACGACTTCTTCCTTTCATTGCTCCAATACTCAAACCTTTATAATACTGTTCGAACACAAACATGCTACGAAAGGAAGAAGTTTGGTTGAGAATGTCACATTATTTTTTTCAACGTGACAGGTACAGTTGAATGTCACCTTACGTCAGTTTGGTTGAGAAATTTGACAAGTAAAACTATAAGGCAGTGGCAGGAAACATACAACCTCCTAGGAGAGTTGCTCTAGAACAAATAAGGTCTCACTCACTATTACTGAAGCAATTTTAGAGTCCCATTTTTTCCAGAAATTGTAGGATAAAAGTCCATCTCTAAATTTAATAGACCACCACATAAGTATTTTTATGATATGGCAACGCTTTTAAGAAGAAAGAGAAGAGGCGAGTTTCATCTAGATAAAACTAAGTCATCAAATTAAATGTTTAGAAAACTATAAAATGAAACTTTGCATTGAGAATGGATGTTTCATTTTATTTTTATATGATGTGTCAGTCTTAAAAATAACACCATGAAACTCTCCATTAAAAATGGCCTAAGAGAGCTTCACAGTGTCCTGTTGGTATCTGTTTCTAGAAATTAATTAGCCGTCTCTAAAAATCATTTTTAGGGTCTGTTGGTATTCCAACGCCCATAGAAATGCTCCATTTTCAGGGTACATGGTCAGTTAAGTTCATTTGTGAGTTCCATATAAGATAGCTTCACCGAATTCGATAATGCAATTCTTTTATTGGCTGGTGTCCCTCATTGAGGGGCCAGTGCTCGAAGATCATAATCTACACTAGTACAGAAAATATTTTTACTAGCTGTATTTTTCCGATTTGCAATGGCATTTTTAGGAATAGCCAGTGTGAAAGGCTAGATGCCTCACGGGTTACTCCTTTTACTACTACATCCTAAAGTCACCTGTGATTAAACAGCAGAAACAATCCCCTCGTATTCACTCTATCGGACTTTGAAATGAATATTTGAGGCTCTAAACAAATGGAAATGAAAAGAGTTTCAACTATAAAGTTTTAGATCCCATCGAGATCTACAACTTTGTTGTTGGACGTTTTTCCATGCAAGGTCATTTGAAAAACTAAAAACATAATTTCAAAATTATTAATCCTAAACCATAATTTCTAGCCCTAAATGATTTCAAATGAAAAAGTAGTAAACTATAAAGTTGTACATTTTTCATGTACTACAAGTTTTGTTTAGATCATTTCTGCATCTGAGATGATTTGAAAATTCAAAATAGCTGATTTCAAATCATTTATAGTGTCGCTAGGTTCAAAAACCCGCTAGTATAAATTCATCTTTACTTGCGGATTTGCTGCCAGTAGAAATCATTTATTTACACTTGGGGTTCTCTTAAGGATGCTGCCAGTACAAATCAAATTTGTGCTGACGGTAGGTTAAGAGAACCGCCATTGTAAATACATGATTTCAAGAAAACCATTAGTACATGATTTTTACTGGCAGTAAGAAAACCGTGAGTAAAGATGTCTTTAATTAATGGTTCATAGTCATATGCCTATAGTTTCATTTCTACTGGTACCCAGCACTACCGGCTTGAGCCACAAACCGGCAATGTTGTATGCTAGAACAATGCCGGCTTGTGCTAAGAACCGACAGTGTTTATGGAGAGAACACTGCCGGCTCGTGTAATAAAGAACCGGCAGTGTTGGCTCAACTAGACATTGTCGGGTCGTGTTACGAACCGACAGTGATTTTTCGTATCACTGTCGGTTTATAAGAACCGGCAGTGATGTGCATGTGTGATCACTAAAATTGTTTTTGAACTAATGCTACCCATGCATGTGTGATCACTAAAGATCATTCTATTTACCCCACAAGAAGTAATAGTGTTACGTTGGTTCTTAATTTATTCGATTATTAGGCTCAGAGCAGAGAGAGAGAGAATATGACAGGATGTCGTTACGTAATACAAGCAAATTAAAGGCATTATAAATTTGAGAGGAAAGTTGGTTCGTTTATCTTCTTTTTTTAATAAAAAATAAAGATCTTCTCTCTTAAGCAGTCCAAATTTCTGCTCTTAGTTGATTAGCAGGTCAACAAATTGAAGAAATCCTCCATATACACAATGCAAGTAGTATCTCTTTTATAACGAACATGTACCCTAGTCGGACACTTGTATGTAAGATAAATAATAGTACTAGTGAGCTGAAACATGTATGCCCGATCGATGTC